GTGGGGATAGAAGGAGAAACTCTCTATGGCTAAGAGGGGGACGAAAATCTCCCACAGTAAAATTGGTGCTGCTGTAAGCACCACCCTCCTTCCGAAGACAGCCTTTACCTAGCACAGGAGAGGCTTTATCCTGGACAAAGCGCCCTGTGTTTAAGCCTCAGGAGTGCTCTGCAGGGAGTAGGGAGGGAGAAAACCCAGAATTCCCAGCATTGTCTTTTATTTCTAGCTTCCAATGCTGCTAATGGCTTCCAGGATCTGGCACCATATTAGAGTAGTTTCCCAGGTCTTTGTAACAACAGATTTTCGTTTATCTGCATTTTTTTGTGGATCCTTGACTTCAACACAGCTCTGGGGAGGAGGAGAGGGGTTGGCCTGTGTTTACTGAGCCCCCCCCACTGATACACACACAGATGGACTAGTTCAGTTCCCCTTGACCCTTCACCTCATCTATTGAAATTGAGTATTTAAGGGTCTTCCATGGGGGTCGGGTTGACTTTGAAAACTGAAGTGTGACTGACTGTTGTTTTTCTCCTCTTAGCAGCAGAGATGTGGGGCATCTGATTGGTCCTCTGTCTGTTTCTCACCTGCAAGAAAGGTTTCAAATGCAGACTCCAGAGTTGTTTACCACAGGAGCTGTTTGCTGGTAAAAGGACCTGGAAGTCGCAAATGCACATCTCAAGACCAAGTTCTCAGCACAAAGCAGATTTACTGCCCCCAGGGAATAAGAGACAATGTGTGAGATAGAAGATGAGGGAGAAAAAAGAGGAATGGGGGGGGGGAAGGGTCTTTGCCTCAGAGGGACTAGGGACTGGCTCTGGATAGAGAGGAGACAGAAGTGACCCATTGGCAAATGGCAGTTTATAAACAGAAAGGGGAAGCCTGCATTAAGATGTGTTGGTTAATTTTGACTGGACGTGTTAATTGCAGTATCCCAAAAGGGACTTTTGACTGCTGGACTTCAATACTTTGGTAGCTGGACCTTCATGGTCAGCCTTAGGAGGGAGGATGAAGTGTCCAAATAAGGGAGTAGGCCTTGGTGGCTAGCATTAGGAGTCTAATCTAACTGTTTGCAGTTTACAAAGCAGAGGGAATGAAGGAGAAGGCAGAAACTGTTGGCACCACTTTCCATGCTTGGGCCTGCTAAATCCCTTGCGGAAGCACTTGCCATTTCTGTCTGTATTTCTCTCCTCTCCGTTACCGCCTCTGTACAAATTGCTAAAAGCTTACAGTTTATTGTGCCTTTTAAATGAAGTCAGCCTCATTAGTGACAGTGATGGCAACTCTGAGGCCCTAGCTGGCTTCAGGGTTTCACATGCATTGCTCTTTGGGCATACTCAACCCTTGGGCTGCTGGTATTCAGAAGTGATCTCTGGTCTTCACAAGGCAAGGCTCCTTTTAGGCAAATATGTCATTGTTTTCTAGTGTGTTCTCTTTGGCTGAGAAGGTCTACTTCTACAATTCCTCTCTCACACACAACTCTTACCTTCGCCCAGGCTGTCCCCAAGATTCCAGGTCCTTCTTTGTGCCCTCGCTACAGAGCAAGCCTCAGCCTGCCTGATTCACAGACGAGAATCTCCCCGAGCCTGACAAAGCCTCACCATGTGTTTGTAGATGGAATAGCTGACTGCTCCTCATGTCGTTCCTCAAAGCTAATCCCTTTCTTCACCCGTGCTATTTTCTTTGAAAACATCCGTCTTTGTTTTCACTAGGAGATTATAAATTCCATGAAAGAGGAAATCTATAACTCGCACACTTTGCATCTTCTAGAGTGACAGGCGAACAGAACGCAAGCAAATGTCATGTCTTGGGGGGAAGCACATAGGCACGACTCATAAAACACGTACTTGTTGACCACTGACTATTTGTCATGGACTGTTCTAATGTCTGAGATGACAACCTAACATAAAGGAAACGAAATCTGCAGCTAGCTCTCTGGTCTGTGTTGATTCACGAAAATTCTGAGCCTTCCACCCTTTCTGTAAGAACTAAGCTAGATTATCCCTGCTCTCTGTACACCTCAGCATTCTCTGGATTCTTAAGTATTCATTTGCCAAGTGATGAGTGGTATTTATCAGGCACTAAATTATTCCAGGATATGACCTTTACTCCATCAAATTGTGGTTATTTTCTGTAGTCGTAGAGTGTGTATTGTAGGTTTTTTCTTTCCTGCCAGCCAACTCCCTAATGTGACACAGAGATGTCTTATTAATTATGAAAGCTTGGCAATAGCTTAAAATTGTTTCTAACTAGTTCTTATAACTTAAATTAACCCATTTCTATTAAATTACATATTGCCATGTGGCTGGAGTCTACTACCTCTCCTCCTGCATGTCCTGCTTCCTCTCCATCTGACCGATGACCTCCTCCTTCCCAGCATCTTCTCTGTTCCAAAAATCCTGCCTAGCTTCTGGCCATTTGGCTTTTTTATTAACCAAATCCAAGTGGCACATGTTGATAGTGTACAAACAGATTAGCCCACCACAGCTTATTTGTTCAATAAGTATGTATTGAACATCCATATATGTTAAACATCATAGTAAAGATGCTAGAGTATCATGAATGAACAAGACTCAGTCCTTGCTACAGATACCCTCCCTCCCCTACCATAATTTACCAAGACCAAATCTTCTCCGGGCATATTCAACCCCAAGTTTGGTGTTATTGGTCAGGTGTCATATTTCGTTCACAGAGGAATGTTTTTTAACCATTCCACCACAAGTCTAGTTAGCTGACGTTGATATTCTTAGTAATATATATTTACATGAAAAGAAGTTTAAACAAATGGATTGTGAGTATATGGTGCTCTAGAGTCACGGCTTTGGTTCTGCAGCACTGCCTCAAGGCTTGTATCTATCGGGGATGCATGCTAAGTTTCCATGGCCTTTGGGTGCGGTTACCTAGAATAACTCCATTTGCAAAACTTTCCAGGAAAGTTTGTTCTGTTAAAGACAAGGCTTCCACTGCTCTTCCCCCTCACTGATTGGAATTAGCAGTAAAATAATTGGCAAGGGCTACCCATGATTTTACTGTGGCTGGTGGAACTCCGTTCAACATATATTTAAGTGTTCTGGGTGAATTTTAACACCCACACTCCCTTGACAGGCCGTGGGCTGCACAGCTCGTCGAGTGAGCCTTGTATCTACGTGTGATCTTCCTATTGGTCTGAGATTTCTTGGTTATAATAACACTGTCCTCATCACACCTACGAATTTGTAATTTGGGGCTAAAATAGCACCTCGGATTTGCCTGCTTTGACATGCTCGAATACTGCTGTACTCAGCCACCTTGGCTGAAGTCACTTGGAACACACATTCAGTTTTAGCATCTATAAAGTGTAGTATGCATACCCTCCAAGCTCATTCACAATGCAAAAGGCTTGCAAAGGAACACCAGGAAGCATCACATAAATTTGTGAGGATGGTCCAGTTCTTAGTATCAAAACCAAGATATCTACCTCCTGTTTTGGGAATGTTTCCTGCATGAGCCAAACACAGACTTGACATTAGGTCCATACCCCAAAACTGTAGTCCTTGTTTACATCTTGATTAGGAGTTACGTTAATGAGACTGTATTTCTAGAAGGTGCGGTTTCACAGTACTCTGGATCTTAAAATCATTCTGTCTCTTCTGCTTCAATGACCACTGAGCTTTAGGTGTGGGATGTGTGCTTCTCTATAAGCTGTCCACAAGCCAGACCTCTGTGTGTAGGAGGGATGACCTCCCCCAAATTGCCCTGACTTAGATCTGCCTCACAAAGGGATACTTTTCTCAGTATTATGGAGAAAAGATTGACAAAACTCAAGATCTACATATTTACAAAGTATCACATGATGCTGGTGTCTGTATTTATTTACGGACATCCAATGTGTGCACAGAAATGGTGACAGCAACCAAGCTGATTGATTGACACGTGCGTCATCCTCACATGGTTCCCTCCTCCCTTATGCTAAGAACATCTGATGGTCTTTCCTGCTCTTCTAGAGTCCTGTAAGACTGGTTTTAGCACCTCGCTCACTTTGTAAACCGTAGTTTAACAGGCCTTAGATGTGCTCTGCTGTATTAAAATGGTATCTCAGGTCCAAGCTGTCCTCTGTATCTTTCTTTTTAAAAAATGCTTTACATGTAATTAGTGATGGTGATTTGGCAGGAGATGCACATACACAGGTCACAACACACATTCGAAGGTCAGGGTACAGCGTGCGGGATTGCGTCGTATCCTTCTGCCACGTGGTTCCCAGGATTCTAACTCAAGTGACCACTCTGAATGGCATATTCACTGCTGTCTTACCTTGAACCATCACCATGCTTGCAAGACAGCCAGTTCCAAATCTAGCACACCCCACACCTTGTCTACCCATGGCTGCATTTTCAAGCAGGACTGTGTGAGGCCGTTCTTCTCAAATGCCATGCTCTGGGGAGGCTGTTTACCGCAGATTGGCATCAGCGCTCAGAGGATGTTGGGATGAAAGCTGGTACCCATCCTCTCATAAATCTTAGCAATGCTGCTGTTGAAGAGATTTCCTCTCTTTCCTTTTCTAAGCATCCTTAGGTGCTGGGCTTCAGCATTCACTCTCCAGGCAGGGGAGGAATGTTCAGTTCCAGAGGCTGAGGAGGCTGCATCAGCAGCTCACCCAGATAGACACAGTGATACAGACTCAGACACAGAGACTCACACTTCCTCCATACACAGGAGCCACACTCCCACTCACAGAGACACAGCAGCTTACAGGCACACACACACACACACACACACACACACACACACACACACAACTAACAAGGCCTGCTGACAAGCTTAGAGGGCACGGGAGGAGGTGCCCTTCACACTACTGTCAATGGGAGCCAGCCCATGACCCACACTTCGTAAATCCCTTTCCTGAATCAACGGCAACCGAGAGCATCAGAGGCAGCACATTGCATCTTTGTGGTCGGAAAAGTGATGGCCTGAGGGGGAAAAAAGTTCAACAAAGCTCACGCGGACTCCACTTCTTTTTTTTGCAGTCACAACATTCTTCTCTACGAGGACGGCCATGCTGTGGTGGCAGATTTCGGAGGTAAGACGCCCAGAAACACAGCCCCAAACAACATCCTTTCTTCTTTCTGCGACTGTAGAGTGACCTAGACTTCACACCGTTGGTATTTCTGTTTAAGTTTCAGTTAGACCTTGCACTTTGAAGGCATGCCCTTGGCACTTAGCATTTTCTCCTCTGCTGTCAAGGCTGTAAAGAGGGAAATGAAAATTTGAATGGGATAAGAGCTTCCCGGGTCTTGGGAGTTTTGCTGTGATCCTGGACCCCGGGATTGGGATGCTTCCTTTGACACGGACTTGTTTTCTCTTCCCTCTAGAGTCGAGATTTCTGCAGTCCCTGGATGAAGACAACATGACGAAACAGCCAGGGGTCTGTGGCTTTCTTGTTCCTTGTTCAGCAATTAAAATGTGTGCTAACTCAGTGTGGGAGGAAGGGGAGAGGAGTTAGCCTTAGCCAGGAAATGTTGCTGTCTAGAGGTCAGGGTAAGCTTTAGGGTTTCATTTTCATAAAGCTCCAAAGTAACTACCTGAGGGATCCCATACTTAGACAATGTTGCAGATAAGATCTCAACACATGCTTTCAGGAGAAGCCTTAGCCAGGAAATGTTGCTGTCTAGACGTCAGGGTAAGCTTTAGGCTCCAAAGTAACTATCTGAGGGGTCCCCTACTTAGACAATGTTGCAGATAAGATCTCAGCACACCTTTTCCGAACCTGACCTGTAAGCACTGGCAGGCACTGGTCACTGACTGCCATGGTAACGAGCATATACAGTGGGAGTGCGAGCCGGTGTGGACCAATGGCTCAGCAGCGTTTGCTGCTCGGGACTCATGGCTCTCCCTGTCAGTTACCAGGTAACAAGTCCTACAGGCAGGTGTTAACGCTTCAGCAAAACATAAATTACAGTGTGGGACAGTAGTAAACGTTCCCAGATTGCCTGCAACTCACTTCATCCCTGTCTATCCCATTGCCCCAACTTCACTCCTCCATACAGGCAGCCATTCTTCTCCCTGGACTCCTGAGGTTATCTGACACCTCCCCGGGTCAGCTTTGCCCCTTCCCTTGCCTGCTGCACTCATTACTCAATGCTTCTGTCTGTAGCTTCTTTTTCTCTTACATTTTCAGTGTTTGCACCTACTGCCTCATGATTTGAAAGCAAAGTGATGGGTAATGGGTGAGTCCCCATTGCTCAATCACCTCTGCTAATGTTGCCGGCTGGCGGGACAGTTCTATGATGCACTCTCAACAGCGCCCGCAAAATGCAATCCAAATCTCCTCCCCTGGGCACTTTCTGCCTGTCTCACTCTTTTCTGATCCAAGGGTCCCTTTGTAACTTTCTCTGCCACCCCAAGATGCTTCAAGCTTCCTGTATCAGCACAGGAACCACCCATCTGCCCCCCTGCCCCCAATCCTGCTGGGCACCTGCACATCCCAAGCCTCACAAGAGGAGACATTTTTCATACCAGCACAGTGTGGTGAGGGCCCCAGGCAGGACTCACCACACCAGGAATGTGCCCCCCCCAACTTTTCTCTCCCTGCTGTTGTGTACACTCTTGATTCACACTCGACAAGCATTTACGGAGGTCCTGCCTTGTGTCAGGAGTTGCTCACAGGGACAGGAATGTGAAACAGGAAATGAGTTTGCTTCTTGATTGCAATGAGCTCATTTGCCAGGTGGGGCCAGCACGGGGATGAGCAAGCAGGTTTAAAGCACCCTGGGAGTTTTCCACAGAGCATCGCGAGAGCTTGGCAGCGTGAACAGGGATTCCTCAGGAGATGGGGGTCCAGGGAAGGGCGTGCAGACAGAGGGAGCAGGATGAGCAAGGGCAAGGGGTGAATGAGAAACCGAGCTGTATCGGGAAACTTCGAGCAGCTTGACATGGTCAACATGTCGTGTGAGGGGAGAGAGGGACAGAGGGAAGGATGGAGGGAGGAAGACGGGAATCGCACCACGAGTCTGCAAACGTGCCGATATGTTCCAGTTCTGCCAGTGGCGCTCAATTTCCCATTGCTCCGTGGAAACACCCAAGTTTAGGCATGTTATAAAGAAAAGCAATCTACTTACCTCGCAGTGTGGTTGGCCCGAAGGCCAGGAAGCCTGCTGCTGCCTCCCAGTGAGGACTCTCAATGGCCCACATCCTAGAAATGTACAGCAGCAGTGTCAGCAAGTGTGTGCTGCGCTCCCATGGCCAAGTAAAACAGGAAGCCAGGAAAGGGGAGGGTTCAGCCTTGCTGGCACACAAGCTCGTGAGGGGGCTACAGGAATGATAACAACACCTCCTAACGAGTTGTCGGGACCCCAGGTGCACACCAGTTATCTTTACCAGCCCTGCTTCTTAGGGCGTCTGCTGCTCTCCAGCATCAACACACTGACCGGTGTGTCCTGGGGGCACCAGACTCAGTGCACGTCTGAACGTACAACCACCCCTTAGATTTCACATAGTCTCTCAGCAACATCTCAACCCACACAGTCTAAGGCCTGTGGGTTTGCAACGGCCTACATTGGGGACTGCAGAGATGCCTCCCCGTACTAAGCATGAGGACTCATGTTTAGATCCCCAGTGCTCACGTAACATGCCAGACTCCAGTGCTCGATGGATGGAGGCATGGGCGATCCCCTTGAGGCTCACTGGCTGTGCCAGGCCAGTTGAGGCAAAATGGTGAGCTTCAGGTTTCTAGAGAGGCCCCCATCTCAGCAGGTGAGGTGCAAAGAGACGGAGTCATCGGCCTCTGGCTCCCACACAGAGGCACTAAGTCAGCTCTTCTTCACACCTAGCAGATAGTTTCTGAACAAATGAACAAACAAATGTGATCGAGAGTGTTAACAAGAGAAAAATCAGAGCAGTAAAATCATGCAGGGAGCGAGCTAGGTTCACCGATAGGTAAGAGTGAAATGCTGTGGTGTTTTATAAGAGACTCGGTTAAGGAGACTATCCTCATGGTTGGTAGGCGTTGAAGGCAGAGATGAGTGTGGGTCCAGTGCCTCTGAAATAAGAGGGGCTCTTGGAATGTTCAAAGCTAGTGGTATGGGCGTTTGAGGGAGGGTGAGCATAGCTGTGATGGGGTGGCAGAGGGGTGGAGCATGTCCTTTGGGGGAGGGATCCACAAACCTCATCTAAAACCCTGAGGCACAGAGAGAAAGCTTGATCCACAGACCCTAGCCCTGAGTGCACTATTTTAAATTATCTTTCATTTAAAAAACAATGCCTGTATGTGACTCCCCTAAAAGCTGTGTCTGCATGGGTCTTGGGTACCTGCATCTTGTCATCTTGTGATTGTGAAAGACCTGAAGTAAGCAGCAGGCTTCAGGCTGAATACCCCGGTGAAGTCCCGAGCTCAATAACCAGACAGTTGGATGCAAACCGCAAGAGGTTTATTGTTTACACAGGCCAGCAGCTTAGCTAACTGAACGCGTGTGCTCTAGGGCAGTTTTCTTTTTATATACATACTTTTGGCAAGCAAAGCAATAGGGGTATTGTAAGAAGTGGAGCTACTGCAGGTGCAGATCTGGGCAAGCAATAGGGGTATTGTTAGAACGCAGGCATAACTCATCCTTCCTGGAGAACCCACAAGGTCAGAATTACACTTATCTCTACAGCCTGCTGGTGTCCTGTATCAGCACTCAGGACCTGATGTTCTTTCTAATCAGACCTTGATCCCTGTCTAGGGGAAGGGACCTTGGGGAATTTTCCACTGAGGCAACCTTCTGAGTCTCAAAAAGGGGGGGGGGAGTATTGAGGTTTTTTCAGTTGTTCTGACAGAGGAGTTTCCAGCGCAAACAGCTGATTCCCTCTAACTAAGCCAGGTCGAGTGGATAGAATTAAGCTGAATCTCACCCTCAGCAAGTGAAATGAATTAATTTGCATCACAGCATAGCTTTTAAGGATAACACTCCCCTCAAATTATTCTGGTGTTTTATTTCTCACTAGTTATAAAAGCTGTATCTAAGCTTCTTAATTATTTTGTACTCCACCTCCCTGCTTCAAACACAAACACCATCAACCAGATCATAGGCACGTCCTGTTAGGACACACCTCTCGCATCCTCTGTGAGCTGAGGCTCTTTGGAATGCAGAGGCTCCTGCAGGGGAACCATGTGTAACAATGCCAAGTATAAAGGTGTTGTTGGAGTTAATTCTACATGATTTCAACATGATGCAGAACAGTCAGAAGGATTATCAGAAGCAGCACCACACACAGGGCTTTGGCAAGGGTAGGAACAGAGTACCGCTCCCCTCCTTGCCCGTAGAAAGGTGGTTTAGAAAGTCCGCTGACTGGATGTATGTAGACCTGGGAGACCTCAGAGCTGGAACTCCGAGGTGGGAGAAGCCACCCAGTCGTAGGTGCAACATTCATTTCTTAGAGCAGAGACTGATGTTCTGGCCTTTGAACTGCAAAAAGGAAAAAAAGGAAATTATTTGTATTTCTGATCACTCATACAAACGGTGCAGCCTGCTACTACAGCATAGATGAAGCTAGAGGTTAAGTGTGTGTTGTAATTTATTTGTTACCTTGCTTCCATTTATCGCCAAAACTGAATTCCCAAACTTCACATCAAATACAGGATATTCCAGAGCCTTAATCCTGCCAGGGAGAAATCTCCATCACAGGCAGACTGGGGGGGCTTCTCCATGGCTCACCCTGTCCTCTGTCATGAGAACACAGTTATGGGCCTAATTTAGTCACTGGCTTAATTGGAACCCAGAGACTTAGAAACAAGAGAAGGTGTCTCCCACAGTGTGTGAGTCAAGCCAAGGGACCTGCTGGGGATGGCCCCATGATGGCTGATTCTGAAGCCTGAAGCCTGCAGGGTGCCTAGAGCAAAGATGGTGGTTGGTTGACATCAGAGAGAGGAATGAAACACAGCCACAGCTGTGAGGCACTTGTTTGTCACTAATGTTGAGGTGTCTATTATTTTTTTAACTTTTAAATTTAAATTAGAAACAATGTTGCTTCACGTTTCAATCCCAAGCTCCCTCTCCCTCTCCCTCCTCCCACACCCTCCCATCTCCCCATTCCCCCAATCTGCACTCCTTTCCCCAGGTGTCTTATATAGAGTTCAGGTTTTATGATCTTCCAACGGTTTTGTGTTTTCTTGAGAAACTGACGCCCACGAGAAGACGCACGAAGTTCGTTGTTTTGGTGAAGAGCAGGGGTGCAGCCACCTCCTGCCCATGCGGCCTGAGAGCATTGGAGAACCTTCTCTGGTGCTGGCTCAGAAGCTGACTCTGGTCACCTTTGGTCTACGCAGAACCTGCGCTGGATGGCCCCCGAGGTGTTCACACAGTGTACGCGCTACACCATCAAGGCAGATGTCTTCAGCTACGCCCTGTGTCTGTGGGAGCTCCTCACGGGAGAAATCCCCTTCGCGCATCTCAAGCCAGGTAGGACCTGCCGCATCAGAGCAGCCGTTTCCCAGTGCAGTTCACAGAGAGTTTGGACAGCATCCCACCCCCACCCCTTCACTCCACCCCCGCTACAAAGATAATTGTTCTAGTGGAGGCAAGAGATCTTGCATTGTTGGGGGTGATCATCCCTTTCGGAAAACACGAGGGCCTCACTCTGGATTTAGACACAGGTGTCTAGCTCTACAGAGCCTTTATTCAAGTTTAAAGTTCTGATTTATGTACTTCTAATAAAACAAGCGAATTGCCCTGAGTGCAGACAGATCAAGTGACCAATGTCGTTCACTTTAGAGCTTAGGTTTTAAAGGTGTCTTTTAAATCTGTGTCTCAGAATGAGGAAGTGTCAGTGCAGAAATAACCTGTCAGGACTGAAAACACATTTCCTAATAATTTTGTATTAGGTGTGACATGTTCTAAAAAAAAAAGTCAGGCTTTTTGAGTGAGCCTAATTATCACTGATGGTATACATTACGCTCAATCTACATGTAGGATGTGGAGAAGAGACATCTAATCAGAGGCAGAACGTGCATGAAACAGCCTCAAGGTCGACTGCATGAACATGCATGTGCAGGTACACACTCAGGTCAGAGGAGGGCCTTGAATGTCCCCGCCCAATCACAGCTATTTCCCGAGGCAGGGTCTGTGCCTGAACCCGGGGCTAGTATCTCCGCCGGGCTGGAGACAAGTCAGCTCCATCAACCCTCCTTCTTCTACCCTCCAAGGAGTTAGGATTTGCAGGCGTGCACACAGATGCTTGACTTGACACAGGACTGGTGGAATCTGAGCTCCAGGCCTCAGGATTGCAGAAGTAGGGCTCTTGACAGCTGGGCCATTTCTCCTGACTCAAGACCAGCTCCGTTTGCATGCCTTACTGTTTACAACATGCTCCTGTCTCCTCACACTAGACCCGAAGCGGTCTATGTAAAGGCCCTGTGCTCCCAGCTAGAGAGTAAAATTCGGCATGAATCCTGAACGAATTGCATTGCCAGCCCCTGTGATGATCACCCTGTAACAGCATACCACAGAGAAAAATCAAAGCCTGTTAAAAAGCAGAACCAAGATCGCCATACCTATCAGTGGTTGATGTACAGAGGGAGTGCCCAGGTCTTGGACTGTTTGCACAGTGCTTATTACCGGGGTGTTCCGGTGCTTTCCACAAACTGATGTTTGTGTGTGTTTGATGAGTCAAACTAACGATGTACCCACCCCTTGCTTTGCTAAGGAAGCCGGCTTTCTTGTGAACTGGACCAACAAAACCCTTTGAAGGATGTTTCTATGATTCCTAGCTGTCTTGTTACCTGAAGGTGCATACTTGTAGAGATATTTGGGCATTTGATGACTCCATTCTAATTCCAGGTGCAGGCTTTTAATAGAGACACACAGCTGCCTTTTCCTAATTCCCCCTGTCAGTCCATTCATCTGGTGCTGCTAATTTCTATTTTGGAATTATCTACCATCCACCATCCTCCATCCCCTGCCTTGTTCAAGCTACAACATTTCACTTAAATTGTTGTTATAATATCCTCAGAGTCAAATTTACTGAGACCTAACAGAAAACTGTCTTTTTAGGTTAACAGTCAGTGGGTTTAAGCAGTGCCCCTATTTCTGTGTCTAGAGGACTACTTCTCCCAGAACAGCTCAGACAGGGAATCATTGCCTTGTTTATCCATAACCCATTATTTCTCACTTCTGGGTAATAAATTTGACTGTGTAGAGGCCAGCTGGCGGCATCTTGAGAGACTCTAGTTTAGGGCTGTGGCGACGAGAATTTACCAAAACTGTTCAGGAGCCTGTGTACTTGTTTTTATTTTTCTTACACATTTGTTCAAATTAAGAGACTGGCTTCTGGGCATAAAGATTAAATTTTCCGTGTCCTGTACACTGTCATGGAGTCCCCCAGCAGCATCTGACAACATACACTGAAATACAAAGCTTTTTGGCCATTCAATCTTGGGCATAATCTACGATTACTGGTATTGATAGCAGACTGATATGCATATTTGTCATCCACTGCTATGTTTTTCCTGAGGTGTTTCCGTATTGTCTGAGTGTTTAGTTGTAAGAGCGTTTTGACTCTAGATGAATCCAGCGTGAGGTTGCAATGACATTCATCTGCAGTCTGCTCAGCAACGTCTTTAAAGACCCGAGACATTTCACTTACAAAATCCCTCTTATCAAACTAATATATCATAAGTCTTGTCTAAAATATCCACACATACCTTGTTTGCTTTCCTGTGACATGTTGTATGAAGATTTGACAGGCTCAGGTTCCATAGCTATGAAGTCTGCTTTGTCTATGGTCTACAGTGTGGGATGAATTTGTTATTTTTTTTTGTTTAGTTGTGGTTTTTCTTTCTAATATCAACATCCAGTTGTTTCAGTATGGTTTGTTGAAGTGAACTACATTTTTTTCAATGAATTATTATAGCACTTTGTCAAAAATCAGTCAAAAAGATGCACATGTGTTTCTGATGCTTTTTTTATCCACTCAAAGCTGACCCCTGTGCACACGTATATCGCTACTGCCCGATTTTAATGGCCGCCACTCGGTCAACATTAGTCTTCGACTTCGTGAAGTTCACTTTAGTTATGTGGGACACTTCTATTTCCAGTATAGATTTCAGAGGTAACTTGTCCACTCCGTAAAACGAAGCTTGGGAAACAAAGCACAGTGCATTTGGTCCTTAGACCTAATTCACCCTAGTTCACGATGAATTCACGTTTAAGTCACACTGTTCTCGGGAAACGCCGTGCCTCCCCCTTTGCTTAGATCTGCTTTCTCTCTGTGAACTTGTAGTGTTGGGCAAATGTTAAGTGATTTTTAGATTTCACTATGAAACTTTTACCTTTGCATAACATTTTGTTACTTTTTTGTTTGATTGTTGGAAAATGCTACACATGAGTCTGTACTGTGTCATCCCCACCCTTCATTTCCCCCTTTTCAATGCCTCCAGTCTGAGTTCGTTTAGCATTGCTCAGATGAACCTGCACTGAGGATAACCACATGAGACTGGGTAACCTATCAAGAGGCTCAGACTCGAGACTCGAGAAAAAAGCACTCTTCCCTCTCCTGGCATTTGTTGATTGCCTGCATCTCTTCATCTAGACACTTGTGAGAGTTCCTCCATCCATCCATCCATTCATCCATCCTTCCATCCATCCATCCATCCTTCCATCCTTCCATCCTTCCATCCATCCTTCCATCCTTCCATCCTTGCATCCTTGCATCCTTCCATCCATCCATCCTTCCATCCATCCATCCATCCATCCATCCATCCTTCCATCCATCCTTCCATCCATCCATCCATCCTTCCATCCTTCCATCCATCCATCCTTCCATCCTTCCATCCTTCCTTCCATACTTTCTCCTTGCTTCTCTCCTTCGTCCCCTCTTCCCTTTTCCTCTTACTTTCCTTTTGCAATTTGCTGTTATTTTAAATGAAATTTCCCAAATATCTCTGAAATGCAGCCACTTATCCCCGTCTACTCTAAAGAGTGTATCCCTCCTCCGTTTTGCATGTAGAACACTACATGGTACTGTTTGGTTGGGTCGTGTTTGTTTTGTTGTTGCTGTTTTTTATTTGGCTGGGTTATTGGATGGTTGGTTAGTTGTTGTTTGGTGATTGGATGTTGGCTGACGGTTGATTGGTGGGTTGGTTGTTGTTTGGTTGGTTGTTGGCTGGTTGGTTGATTTGCATTAGTGGGTCTAATCATAGGTCTTCAACATGATTGGCAAGTGGACTGTGACTGTGCTACCCACCTAGGGCAGATCATAGCAATATCCTTGTCACCAGTTTTGACTATCTTTTCTTCACCAATTGTTTGTTTCAGCATTCTAATTTTTTTATTTAACTGAATTGTATCCCTCATTTGAAATCCCTGGTATCTGTACTGTGTTCCCACAATAACAAAAGTCATAAAACCATCTCCACAAATGTCCAACAACTACACGGAAAAAAATTCCCAATACCCTTAGCCATCAAGAAAATACTGTAAAGAGGATTAACCCAATTCTGGCTTGTAGAGAGAGATCCCCAGGTGCATCTGTGTCGCTGACCACACCCACTTGGGCATGGTCACAGGTGCGTACATGAACATGTGGTATTTGGTCTGGCATCTTGGACAGGCTTGCTCTCTTGGTTCCAGTCCGGTCACAGAGCAGTTTAGGTGAGGATCCTCGGAGAAGGAACTTGTGGGTCATCGGTTTCTTATGTAAGTGACTTCTCCCTGAATAGATTTAACCTATATATCTGTACATCTACACTGGTTAGAATGACCTTACCAAAAATTCAAAACGTAACAAACGTTGTTGGGGATCTAGAGGAGAGGCATCTTAGATACCTTCTCACAGGAATAGGAATTATTACAGCCATCATGGAAGTGCTTTGATAAACTAAAAAATAGAGCCACAATATTATTCTGCGTTTCCTGCATGGGGCATATATCTGAAAGGAAGTAAAATTAGCACGCCAAAGAAGCCCTGGCATCTCTGTGCTGTGGCAGCAGCATTCACGGTGCTGAGATACGGAGCGAGCGCCAGTGTGCAGATAAATGGATAAAGGGAATGTGATTACTGCGCAAGACAGAGTGAAATATCACTCAGTGATAAAGAAGAATGCAATCCTGTCATTCCAGCAAAACGGATGGAACTGGATGGCATCCTGCCCTGTGAAATAAGACAGATTTAGGAAGGCAGGAAAGGAGGGAGGGCGACGGAAGTTGGGTAATGAGTACGGAAACAGAAGGAGTAAGTTGTGGTTTTTCCAAAGCACACCAAGAGAGACTATAATTCACAAGAAGCTGCTACATATTTTATGAAGACATCAGAGAGAGACCTTTGAAGCCTCTAAAAATGAAGAGAAGTAAAGAGAGAGAAGCTCTAGCTACCCTAGTTCAGTCAGTGAACGGCTTGACACGTGCGTGTGTTACCAGCCATATTTCGTTAATGGGCACAATTAACACATGCTAATTGTGAATTA